GAGTTTTAGTATTGTTATGTTAAACGGGTGATTGAAAATCAACAATTTATTTCTTAGTAACTCAAATTTATACATCGATTTGACTAGACGGAATGTTCCCGACGGTGGTTCCAATTTTAAACTGCCACGTTTTCCTTCTCGAAACGCCCCCGTCACCGCTTCTAGACTTGTCTTTCGCGACTTCCGCTTCTAGATTCTTCTCCGGCCGCCGTCACCGACAATGGAGTCATCATCGCCGTACATACTAGAACCCATAGGCGTCGTACCGGGGCGGCGTTTGGGTTTCTTTCGTAACAGAATTGTGGAAGAAAATGAATAGAATGTTCTGCAGTGTGCAGAAAATATGCAACATTATGTCAAAATCGAATAAACGAGCGACGTTTTTTCTCCTGCTATCGAAATAACGCAAGTGGCTGGCAAAAACACTTCGGAAGAGTACCTTCAAAAGTCGCAAAATTCCTGGATTACGCGGATTTTAAAGAATATACGGGACATTGTCGGCGCCGTACATCCGCAATTCTTTAAGTATATACGAGTGCTTGAAAAGACACCAAAAATGGAAAAGTGGTAAAGTTGCTTCAGGTTGACAACTCAAGGAAACTGTTCAATGTTTGCAGTAAATATGTCGTCGATTATGTCCTCGTTTAGAGAAAATGTAAAGGCAGAAGATTCGTTACTTGGACGTGATATCAATTTCAGTGGATCCTTTTCTGAGTTTTTATTTTTAAAATGATAATCATTATGCTCGTTTATTACGCCCTAGGGCATAATGAATTTCATAATGAATGTCGTATCATAGATATCAAAAACAAATTACTATCAAGTGAACAATAAAACAAATTATTTCATTCATTATTTTTTGAGACACCTGTATACGTAGCTTTAGAAAATATATGTGCAGTGATAACCCACTAGTGTAGAAATAAACGGATCAGATTTTGCACATTTTAGATAGCATTTAGTTAGCAAAATTTTGAGACGACGCGACGTCGGCAAGTTTTTGGAGGAGAAAAATTTGGACTAACGACTATTTATTTAAAGCGTTTGCCAGACAGTTGGTTTCGCATTTTTTATGTTACACAGGTGTCCCAGATGACACTCCTTGGTCTGTACACGTTGGTGTTTTTTTTTTTTTGCTTGAAGGGGAAAGCTTAATTTAGTCTTATAGTTTCTAACTAAAATTTGAATGTTTTCTAGCTAGTGTCGGGCCGTGGCGTGCAGGAGGCGCCAGAAATCACAAGAGAAAGCACCAAAAGTTACATTTATGAATTTTTGGAGGATCTTGGTAGATTGTAAAATAATTACAATTATGTTAGCAGCGGGCCCTCGCTGGTGCTCCGACATGGTGTCGCGCCAGCCGAACTTCCAGCCGTCTGAGGGTTGATTTTCTTCGGTTAATATAAACATTCGATAAGGTGCAAAGGAACCAATGAAGGGGGGCAATCTGTAATTTCTTCTCGAGGACAAAGGCGCATTTTGATTTTGCTCTCGTGTTTTCATTTCCCTGTGTCATTTTAGGAATTTGATATTTTTTTGATATCAGTGCAGAGGTGGGATTGTACCACGTGCAATCAGGGCCGGCTCAACACGGTAAGCGAAAGATGCACCGCATCGGGGCGCCCGTGACAAGGGGCGCCGGGCGGCGGACGCCGCCTATGCTTTTATATTAACTCTATAAAAATAAATTAATATTAGATTGAATATTGCATTGAACCACTACCAACAAAATATTATAGCAGTAACAGACCAAGGCGCCCATCGAAAACTTTTCAGAAAAAGCTACATTTTAACATTCCACTATGACCACCAAAACAGATCCCAAGTCAATTCCTGGCACTTTCAAAGTTCAAACTGTAATAATTGAAAAATAGTGCGCCTTTGGGTTGGATGATGGGACCTTTAGATCAATACCGATAAAAAATAACCAGATTTATGATGCATTATCTGGGTAACAATTTGACGAGACAGCGGTATGACCACAACCAGATGTTTTTCCTAACATTTGTCACGTTTGTTTTTACCATAAAAGTCCATGTCGGCATACTTAAAAATTTTATTTTCCAAGTCTAGTCGGTTGGTTTTGGTTGGGGTGGTCGTTCAACAATTTTGTTATATTTTTCACTGTTCCTGTTTGTAGCCGAATTTGGTTCTGTGTATCATTTCGTGGCTTTTTGTCATCATTAATTGTAAATTTAAATTTCGATTAACATTGAGGTAAGTCTAAATTAAAAATAACTTTGAAATCGTATCAATTTTACAATATTAAAAATTGAAAAACGTTTGCAATATAAATATTTTTATACTTATACTATGTATAGTTTAGGAAATATCGTTGTACCCTATAAAATTTTATTGACAATAACGAGACGGACAGTAGTACAATGGTAAGAAATATTTATGGCTCACACCAGTCCTTCCGAATTTGTCGGAGAACATTTAGCAAGTAATTGTACGCACAGGGTCGGACTTCCACTGCTTTAGAAATTTAAAGTCTGCGGATTACCGCCACGCGACAACTTTAAATTGTAAATATCTCTTGCTATTGTACTACTGTCCGTCTCGTTATTGTCAATAAAATTTTATAGGGTACAACAATATTTCCTAAACTATAGAAAACTTGTTGCCCGCAGCTCCGTTTGCGTGGAATTCGCAATTATGACTCATCATTTTTCATACACGATCGTTTTCGGGGTTGGAACCGTGTAAACTGAGTTTTTGGGCTCAACGTTTCGCACACTTTTGTAAGTGGTATCTTCAGGAGCAGGGTTAAGAATAACGCAAAAGAGCTCGGTAACTCAGTATGTCAACCATATCAGAGGCGAAACTTTTTTGAGAAATTACACGGTTCCAACTCGGAAAACGATCATGTATTGATTCCGACCGTGAAAACCTCCGAAATTATCATTTTTCATCTCGTTCACTCCTCCCTCCTCAGTGAACCCGTCTTAAAAACTCACGGGATTTATGCACAAAGTTTCATCCCCTATTTTGTCCTCGTAGGGGCGGAATTTCCAGAAATCTTTTCTTAATGGGTGCTTATGACACAAAAGGAACCTACTGTCCAAATTTCATGTTTGTAGCTTCAGTAGTTTAGGCTTTGCCTTGATGAATCAGTCAGTCTGTCAGTTAAGACAAACACTTTTATATATTAAGATTGATTCATCATAATTTTATACATGTTTGTTAATAAAAAGTATCTCTCTACAAAAATATGTGATTACAAAACTTTATTTGTTTTTTTTTTTACAAACATTTTTTTAAGGGCGTTGAACAGTAAGTTGCATCGGGGTGCCTGGTCCCTTAGAGCCGGCCCTGCGTGCAATGTAGTGATAACTGCAAGAGTACAGTGCGGTACCTTCATGAAAAAAAAGCAGCGATCAGGAGGATCGGCCGGAATAGAAAACGACGTGAGCCCTCGACTCCCTCAGGTGACAAAGAACGACATCAACGTCAAGCATGTTCTTCTAAACGACCCCGGAAGAAATATCCCAGTGAGAGAGCTCTCCGGAGCTCGGAGACGCAACGTGCGAAAGGAGGGTCCGGCGAACGTATCGAACGTCTGGAACGACTGGTGGAAAAAATGGTCCGGGAGAGATCCAAGGAAACAGGGACGAGCACGGGTCTGGGTAACCAGATCAAGTACATTACTAGGACCGATTGTATCTCGGAATTTGGTTCGAGCAACTCGAATATGTCGATTACCCGCTGGCTGTTCAAGATCGACCAGTTAGGAGAGGTCTACGGTTGGGATGCTGTCGAAAAGGTGTATCACATGCAGAATGGACTCCGTGGCTTAGCCAAAAGTTGGTACAATAGCCTCAGCAATATTAATTATCCGTGGGCTGAGTGGAAAAAGCTCTTATTGAAAGCTTTTCCGGAGCACACTGTTTATGCAGCCTCGTTGCATAAGATGCTTAAATGGATAAAGAACCCCAACGACACCATGGCAACGTAGGTACTATTACAACAAAGTGGAATTGTTGCAAGTTTGCCGTATTTAGGGAAAAGACGCCGTTCTTTGTGAAAAGTCTCAACTGTTTTCTTCGTGTTCTGATATTTTTATTAGTTATATGGTCGTAATAAAAGTTGCGACCTTACAAATACATATGCATTTGTTTCGGCGAAATCCCCTTACATTTGGAAAAACAAAAATTCGACCTGTGAATACAATTTGACATTTTACCCCCACAAAAAATCAAGAGCGTTAAATCCAGCGAACGAACCAGTCATTCAAACGGTCCAAATTGCCTTTTCCATCTTCCCTCAAAAATGTTATCAAGAAACTTACTCTGTCATTTCCATGCCATAATGTGGAGGTATCCCAGGTTGTTGGAACCGCATTCTTTGGTAGGGCATATCACTATTTTCTTGTATTCAGTGAGTTATTTCACGATCAGTAGAATCGACCATTACGACGATTTACTGTTTTGTTTAAACTAAAGCTAAAATTGCGAATTGCATTAATCAATCAAATATTCCATCAACAACTCTTCGCAAAACTCCAAGTGCCAGTAGGGATCGGCTTCATTTAAGTCATGAATTCAGTACACTTTGTACGAGTGGTGTAATGTGTAGTATTTATCGTTCAGACTTAAGACAACCTCAGCTTCATTTAATTAATGTCACTTATCAATTGATTAAATTTCTCGGGGAGCGAGAATTGTTGAAAACCAAAATTTTCTAACACTGTCGCTACAAATTATAGCTCGATATTCGTATTTCAAAACAAATTTATGAAGGGAATCCGCTGTAAAAACCTTTGGAACACGTTTGACACATGCCTGATTTTTTACTTGCACCTATAACTCATTATGTTGTACCTTGTTGTGAATTGTGATGGACGAAAACTGGACGATCAACTTTTTTCTTTTCATCACTCGTTAAACCAGGTTTCAAAGGGACAACGGAGCCCATATAAACTTTCGGTAACGAGCATAAATTAAAGCCAAAATTTGTGGTTGGGATACCTTATTAAAAGACGACATGCATAAAATCACACGTAACATAATCAAACGTTTATTTGAAGACTGATTTAACAAATCATTTAAAAAAATAAATAGAATCAAAAGTAATATTGACGGAAAAAACGAATAAGATATTTTACACCAATGGAAAAAGAAAAACAGCCACTTACATCCAGCAAAAGAGGAAACAATTACTGCCCCTATATTATATTTAAATTACAATAATTACACAATAAAATTGCCTAATTAAACAATTACGTCTACTCTAGCAAATGACGTCTATCGCACTGTTAGCATAGTTCATTCATAATACTCATACATGAAAAATTAATTAGCGGCACACTGGACACGTTGTCCTGGCCCATGCATCTCATCATCTTCGTCATAAGCATTGCGATTTTGTCTCCTACGCTGATCTTGTTTATCAATATCAAAAGGTAACAGAACACATTCTTCTGCTTGATCTGGAATCATAATTTCTGGCCTAGGTGGTAGGGCGTTCTCCAAAGCTGGTATCACTTCTGGAGCTAGTTTATCAGGAAACTGTACCAAAAATTGGACAATAAGCCGTCCCTTTTCGAATGGATTCTTATACTGTGGCATGCCTTCATTCATAATACACTTAACATCACCGTGTTTTGTAACTTCACCAGGAAGAGACGTGATGACCAAATCACGATCATCAAGAGTCCTGATAATTTTCTGGAATCCACAGAGTGATTCAACTAGTTGTAATTCAACGCGAATGATGAGATCTAATCCGGATCGTCTGAACACTGGGTGTTCCTTCTCTTCTAGAACGATGATGATATCACCAGGTTCCAATTCTGGTTCTTGGTCTCCTTCTCCGTTAAAGATGATTTTTTGTCCATCAATCATACCCTTGTCTACGTGAACTTCAAGGATCTTCCGCTCTCGACTCACTTTTTTACCTTGACACTGCTTGCAGCGGTCCTTGGGGTTGATACGTTGGCCTTGGCCACGACATTCAGAACACATACTTTGGATCTGCTGAATCATACCTGAAAAAACATCATTCTTGCCACTTTATGCAGAATTATAGAAAAGGTTAATTGGAGCTGAGTGTTAATTTTTCTGTCTTGAGAAAATTTTTTTGTTGTTTATCCCTCATTTAGCCGAGTATATTTCTGGCTCTTTATGTGGGGTGGCTGTTCATGATAGACCATTGATATATACATATATTGAAAAAAAAAAGATTTGATTTTTTCTCATCAATACACAAAAACAATTGTGTGTTGTAGTAACACACACGTACAAAGATATGGTACTGATCATTAAAATTTATTTGACAGTATGTTTTTAAGTAATCAACAGAAGTTTTTTCTTCGCAATTTATAACGTCGCTTTTATTTTTATTTTTTTACTGGTAGCTTTTACTAATGTTTTAAAAATGAAATTGTAAATAAACAAGAACTTATTAATAAAAGATAAACACTGAATGTATACTAATTTTCATTAGAATGGAGCACGATACAAGTAGCTCATCTATTTTTGTTACGAATATGATTTTGTTTACGTACAAATTAACTTTCTAAAAACCGGACATCATCTTAATATAACCACGATATTGCGGGTTTTTATGTGTATACAATAATGTGCAAAAATAGTTTTTTTCTTTTTATATTATTTAATTTAAAACCGCCATGAATTTAAAGTTTTATTCCAATTTTTACTTCGCATTTTTGTTTCCACTGAACTTGAAAATAAAATAATCAACTGTGAAATTGAAATGACCGTTGGAGTTGTTTATGGGTAAGGTTCAATAAACTGATGACCAGTATTTTGTCTTCCTGTATTTCAACAGTTGGAATCTTTTTGCAGATCCGATTTTTTTTATTTGTGCTACAGTACTGTATTTTGAGTTGTCTAACTAATTTAACCTTGTATAATAAACCATTTTTTGTATTGGCACATATTTTCTATAAGTGTGAAACTGAACAGTCGATATTTTGTATAAACAACGAACGTCAATAATCTTAGGTGGTGACATTTCAGCAGAACAAGAACGTAATAGTATTAGTCTTAGCCTTTTCTAAATATCCAATCATTTACGCTTGCCTCTTCCATATCGCATTGGTTGTGTTTCAGGTATAACTAAGAGATGTAAAAAACAGTTTTTTATTAAATGTTTTGTTTTTCGTTCTAAAACGATCTGTTCTGTTAAAACGTTTGTTTTTGGGTGTTTTTTGTTGTTTAACATGTTTTATTAACTAAAAAGTTAAAATATACTTTTTCTCCTAAACTAGCAAGTATTTGTTATTAAATAGTTAAGGTTTCCTTAAAAATTTCAAAAATTTTAATATTTACGGTAGCGCCATCCTTGGGTTTAAATTTGAACTACTTCAACAATATGTTCTCAACCTTAAAATTTTGAATACAGATCAGAACAAATAATTTTATTGATATGTTTTATGGTACGGTTTTACATTCATATATTTTATGCTGCAGTTGTCAACATGGAATTAATAAGATTATTCATCAAAGAAATTTACAAAAAATTATTTTATTTTATTAATTTGTATACTGTTCCATCTAAAATTGCTTGTCTTTCTAACAAAAACTAACATCAGTAACATCAAACATCTGAAAACGGTAATTTAATGTCACTAATTTTACTGTTGTGTGTTAAGATACAATATAGAAAAACACTAACGCTCCTTACACTTTATCGGAAGTTATGTAAATTGTAGAAATTATAACAACCCTCCATTCTGAAATGATTGTAAAATCCTCCCATTCTGAAATGATTGTAAAAGCTGCTGAAGTTAAAATCTTGAAGTTCATCGAGAACTGTTAAAACGGATTTTGTAAAGTATCATTGTTCCATCAAAAGTGAATGGGAAATGTTTTTAATATATGATTTGAATTATTAATTTTAGCAAATAATCAAAAATACTAATAAAGTAATATGTGAGAATCGATGTAAAAACACAAATTTAAAAACATTAGACAATGTACTTCAAACTATACAAAAACTATTTTTTTCCAAAAGGAGAAAAAATGTGTAGCTGTGAAGGTTACACTGAATACAGCTTATTTATAAAAAATATCACTTTTCCAGATATTATCATCTGTTAATTAATGTATAGGGCAAATTGTTTACTTTTAAAAAACTCTGTAACTTTAATATACTACAATTACAAAGACTAGAAATGATTGAGCTAATACAAGCATTTTTAAGAATTTAAAAACAAATATTGATGCGATTACGAAAGTTTTGAAATTAATTTAATCTTTTGTCCGAAATTTAATAACGAAAAAAAAAACACCGATCCAATTTCTCGCTGACGGGAACACAAGACGTCATTGTTGCTGCTACACAATGAAGATAATTTTAGTCACTTCTACAGACCAGTGTTCTAGGCAACCTGGCAATTTTTAGGCACAGCCAATTCTGGATGAGAGACGAAATTCATGGACTCGTACCAGCAAGATTTTGAAAGCCAAGTCAACTCTAATTTTCTTTTCTTAGATTGCACAGTATTTGAAACAATTATTCGTTGGTTATAAAAATGTCGCAGACACGTTTTTTCGACTATGTACTTGAATTTAAATATTTCGCCACCTTGAATATAAAATTCATTCATAGTTCAGTACAATTAGTATGATTCTATTGAGCCATAGCACAAATAACCGATTCAGGAGGAAATCAACCTAAAAAAAAACACATAATGATGTTGATGTAGCCTTCACAGTTACTTCATTGTGTGACCAAATTTATTGTAAAGCAATGAACTCAGCAATGACGATTTGAAAAATATTAAACTGTTACATGACACTGTTGTCAATAGCATGGCGTTGTCCATTTATCCACAAAATGCGCATCAGCAACTTACGTTATTAAAAACAGAATTTTAATTCTACTGAAATTACTAGTATGCATGGATACAAAATGAGCATTCTCATACCAAATTTTCAACAAATTCGCATCACCTATTACATATTTCAAAATGATCTTCTGAAAATTGTTTTTTTTTTTTATATGAGCCATTTATTAATCAATAATTTCGTTACGCCAATAAATATGCCACGACTTTATGCGAAACGATAGTTAAATGTAGAAAACACGTATTAATACAACATAAAATGCGTATCGCTATAACGACTCATAATTTAATAGATAACCATTTTAGTTTAAGGAAAAATAGAAGGCTTTTCCTTACCAGGTCCAAGCTGCTGAATCTGCACCTGCATCCCTGATCCTCTACACGTGGGACATGTTTCGACAGCCCCTTTCTTGCCGCCTCGGCCCTCGCATTTATCACAGATGACGTTCTTCTGGAGAGCTAATTTTCGGACAGTACCCTTATACAATTCCTCAAGCGAAACATTAAGTTGATGAATAACATCTTTGCCTTTGCGTTCGCGACGTCGTCCTCGTCCACCTCCAAATCCAGATCCACTGAAGAACATCTCAAAGAGATCCATGGGGCTGGAGAAGCCGCCCCCAACACCGCCTTCTTTGAGGGCCTGTTCGCCACCTTGGTCATAAATGCGTTTCTTTTCTGGATCTGATAAGGTCTCGTATGCTTGAGATATCTGCTTGAACTTCTCTCCTTCATTTGGGTTTTTGTCGGGGTGGTATTTCAGAGCTAACTTCCTGTAGGCCTTTTTCAAATCGTCCTGTGTGCAGCCAGGTTTGACACCCAGGATGTCGTAAAATTTCGTTTCTTTCACCATTTTCGGGGTTCTAAAGCGACAAAAATTAATGATGAGTCATAAAATGCAATGGAAATTTCGATGGTGTGTTTGATGGTTTTTAAATGTGGACTTATCGATGTGGAAACTTCAAAAAAAAATTACCTCAGAAATAATCAATATTTCTGGAACGTCAGGGACGATTCACAAAAACTCCTCGTTAACGTCGGGAACTGACGCAGCACAAAAGCAAATACAGTCTAGAACGCCTGTTCGCTGCTTAAACACGCTGAACCTCGTGTTCTAGAAAATTCGATGTGTAGAAGGTCGGCGACGGAACGGAGCTAGCACTTCTAGAATTTGACACTTCGCCACCTACAGGCCAACTATGGAGTTAACGTACTTAAAAATTCCCGCACTTTTGGATTTTGATTTCATTTTTTAAAAGAAGACTTTTAAATCCGCCCTTGTAATAATTGTTGCAATTGTCTTTGTTTAAGTCGCGTATTTAAATGTAGAAGTGACTAGAATTTTTTCTCAATTAATTTTTTTAAGCACTGATATAATTACAAATTAATGTTTAATTTTCAGCAACTATTGTCTTTGCCATTTCTATTGAAACACCACCTGTTGATTTTGCTTAAAATTTAGCAATTGGTGACAGCTTTCGGTTAATTGACAACGGCTTTTAGTTAGAAAATTGTCTGAATATGAACGTTGCCAAATTTACGATTAACAAGTGTTGTTTCAATAGAAATGGCAAAAACTATACATACCTATATACAAACTTATTAAAGAAACATTATAATGTCAATCTCATATAAGTCATACAGATATAATACAAAGTATTAAAACTTATTCCTTCGTTAGCTTGTTTATTTATGAATCTTAAAAACATGTTTCTTGTTTTTTGATAAAATGTTTAGTTTGATTTAAAAAGATCAACAATAGTTAAATATTTACGTTAAAAGTCCGGGAAGTGACATAAGTTTAGGCTTCGCCTCGCCCGTAAATATTTAAACGAATGCTTTAATAATAACTTCACGGACGTGTATCGTATTAAATTTTATTTCATTACTGTTATGATAACTCAAACATCCCGCCTTAAATTGAGATGTGAATAAAATTCGAAAACCCGCGAAAATTTGAAAAGTGGCTATAAATGGTGATCTTTAACAAGATGGGACTCTACATTGTGTTTTGAAATGGTGGAATGCGTTTTAATACACGTGGTGGATCGCAAAGGTGGAAAAGTAACCTTGAATTTACAACACAAAAATATGCGTGAATAATTTTATTAATGTTTTTCAAAAGGCCGTCTTCTCTCAGTTATTAAATTTATTCGTTCTTTTCAAATGCAAGATTACAAATTTCGATCACATAAACACAGCTTGTTAAATGTAGACAAGTCTCTAGTTTACAACACTTTATCTAAAGTGAATGGATGGCAATGCACATATTATTATGGTGGAGTGTTGGCACATTTTTTTTGTTGCAGCCAGAAGAAAAGAAATACGAATTAATTCAACCATTTGAGAGACGTGCAATGAGTAGAGCTAATGGTTCTAGGCCCTGGCTTTCACTGCTTCTTCGCACTAACCATAGTACTTACAACCTGGTCGCGGTGCTCCTGCCAATGTATGCAATGCCTACTGTGTCTGCTGGTCGCTGGAGCCTGCGTCAGCAACTTCAAGTTTTATATTAATCTTTCGTCCAGGTTTTGAATTCCTTGTTTCATACCCTTTATAGATTAGTGGAAAGAAACATCACCGACAGGGTAACGTCTGGCTTTGAAGTACTTCCCACCACCGACGATCCGGAGGAAGTCAGATTAATACAATACCTGGGTAGATACAGTTCGATTGGAGAGAAATTTATAACACGGCAAACCTTAGTGAAAAGCTATAGAAGATTACTAATTCAGATATCTTCGACACAGAACTTCGAAGCCAGAAAGTGTAAAAGACACAAACATTACTTAATAGTACAAAAAAAAAAAAAAACGAAAGTCGTAATATCGTGGCATTTGAATGAAGTTAGCATAAGAAAATTGTGACGACAACTTTAGTGGTACTAGTTATTATAAGTACTATCCAAACTCTGCTAGGCACTTAGATCATCAACCAAACTACCTTTTCTGCAATCACTCAAAGAGTTTCACTTATATTCCATCTTTAGAATGTAATTTCTGTAAACCAACAAGTGCAACCGATTTTACAATTTATGGTAACATATTTATTATAAAAGGTCACAGATCTGTAGTCTCTACCACCAACTCATTTCATGGTCCACCCGTATATACCGGAGTTGAACATCTCAGTAATGACTAATGAGGTGTACCACAACCTCAGTGGAGTTGACATCATAGTCAAGAAAGACCATGGTGCTGTCGCCAAGATATATGCTCGGTCTGTATAACAGAAAAATATGAGAGATCTTGATAGTTCTTACATTCTATATGAAAAAATTGGTCTAAAGAGTTTAGACAGTACTTCCCTCGCTGTCGGAAACGTGACGACTGCATGCCTATTATGTTTTTTTTTTCGCAGTAGATTTCAAAGCATTCGGTTTTGTAGGCCCTGATTAACTCAATAAAATAAATTCACGCATTCATTAATTTTTTTTAATCATCCTGTATATGCAAATCGAAAAAATTTGAATGGAATGATAAATCACAAGAAGAGACTTACCATATTTTGTACATTTTAGATAGGATTTATTCAGCAAAATTTTATGGTGACGTCATAAATTTTTTAGGGGGACGACCAAATACATTTTGATCAAAAATTTACCATGCTTATGATAATTTTAAAACATCTTCAAGATTTCAAAGCATTCGGTTTTGTAGTTCCTGAGTAAATCAGTAAAATAAATTTAGGCATTCATTTTTTTTTTTGAGTCACCCTGTATATGCAAATCCAAAAAATATGAATGGAGTGATATATCACAAGTACAGACTCATCATATTTTGTACATTTTAGATAGGATTTATTCGGCAAACTTTTGAGCTGACGTCATCAAGGTTTTGGAGGGGATAACCAAATATATTTTGACTATAGATTATAGATCTAAGTTGCTTAAAACATCTGCAACATTTCAAAACATTCGGGTTAGCAGATTCAAAATTAAATTGCAAAATGTTTTATAATTTTGATTTTTTTTCCAACATTTCGGGGGGGAAAAAACTCAATTCGGAGTCGTAAACTACATGTGTAGAACTATGTTATTTTATACAATTTAAAACCCATTTACTATGTACAATTTTGAAGTGACGTCATCGCATTAGTGGTGGGGATGATTAGACAAATTTTCGTTAGCGTTTTACCATCTACATGATATTCCTAATATAAGTACAAAATTTCGCAACAATCGGTCCAGTACTTTCGGAGATTATCTGTCTAATAAAAAATCGGGACGGCAGACAGACGGACAGACGGACAGACAGACGGAAATGGGAGACCTATTTCTTCGTCTTCTAGGGGTCATGGAAGATCGAGAAAACGTAAAATTAGAGAGTCGGCCGACGGACTCGATTACAATACTTGCTTTGCTTACGCTCGGGAAGTAAAAAGTGAGGGCTACTTTTTTGTTTTTATTTTTTTTAAATATTTCCAGAGTGGTGCTTGCCATGAGATTAATGGTGCTAATTGGTGCTAGGTCTAAGCTATCTAGAACTAACTTTTCACGGGAATTAAATAATGTCGGCGTTAACTTGGTGGTTCTAGGTTAGAACAACGAGGTGCTAGCTTTTGAGTAAAATTTATTAACTTGGTGGTGTCAAATTAACGGACCCAGAAATCGCCTCAAAATCAGCCCTCGAGAGCTCTTAGTCGAATGGAGACACTGATCGGCTGATCTCGGCGCCAGCGACGTGCTCTCCGATGGACAAGTCAAACTGCGTTTGCTTGCGAGTGAGATACTCGCAATCTGTGTGTGCTTGCAATACGAAGAAGTTTCGAATTGAAAAATATTCCTCGAGAGTAAACAGTTCACCATAAATTATTTCTCGACTAAAACCGACTTATTTTACATGTTTATGATTCTATGCAAAACGTCGTGAAAAGGATTATCCAATTCGGCCAATTATGACCGTTTGTCTAACTTCAACATTAATACAGTCTTTTCAGATAACACATTTTTAAAAAATGTAAAAAGAAAATAAACGACTAAATTATGTTCTCTTATCGTGAGTCTGAAGCAAGTAATATGAAAAGTAGACTATATATTAATTATAATTAAACATCATAGTGATTCTGATTATAATTCATTCCCATTGTTACGTTGTTCGGTGAATCAAATCGGCGTGGGTAAGACGCAATAATTTATTTCTTAATAACTCAAATTTACAGGATTATTTTGTACACAGCGATTATGTACAAAATAATTCCGGCGCAAATTGACTGGACTCGATTCGTTAACTGAATAATCTCGTTCCCGAAGGTGGCTTCCATTTAAACCCATATTCCCTTCTCGATGTTTCGCAATCGAGGTCTTTCTGGAATCCATCGCGACTTCCGCTTCCAGGCCTTTCTTTAACGAACTCGGCTTCGAGGGGTTCCTGGACTCCGCAATCGAGACTTCCGGTAACCCGCTCGAGGCTTGTCTTTATGCGAATGCTGCCCGGGTGACGTCATCGACGATGAGTCATTATCGGCGTACAGACCAGAAGCTCTCGACGGCCCATAGGCGTCGTACCAGGGCAGCGTATGGGTTTATTGCGTAACACTATTAATTTTTACTTCCCGAGCGTAAGCAAAGGAAGTATTGTAATCGAGTTCGTCGGCCGACTCTACTTTTGCATTTTCTCGACCTATCATGACCCCTAGAGGAGAAAAAATAGGTCTCTCGTTTCCGTCTGACTGTTCGTCCATCCGTCTGTCTGTCCGTCTGTCTTCCCGTCTGTCTGCCGTCCCGGATTTTTATTAGACAGATAATTTTGTATTTATATTAGGTATATCTTGTGGATGGTAAACCGCTAACCAAAATTTGTCTAATCATCCCCACCACTAATCTGATGACGTCACTTCAAAACTGTACATAGTAATTGGATTCTAAATTGTATCAAATAACAGTCTTACACATGTGCTTTATGACTCCGAATTGAGAGTTTACCCGAAACGTCCAGATTTTTGGAAACAAAATCAAAATTAGGAAACAACATTTTGACATTTAATTTGGAATCTACAAAACCGAATGCTTTGAAATCTTGCAGATGTTTTAAGGTTATAAAGAGCATAATAAATTTTTAATCAAAATATATTTGATTATCCCCTCCAAAAAATCGATGACGTCAGCTCAAAAGTTTGCTGAATAAATCCTATCTAAAATGTACAAAATATGATGAGTCTGTACTCGTAATTTAT